ACCAGGAAAGTTGTCACCTCTGAAGAAGACAGGGCAGGAACCCCACTAGAGAGACCACAGGGCAAGCTCATGGCATGTGTAATATTTATTGCTATGTAAAATCTGAAGCAAATATTGTAAAGGTGAACAGAGAGCATACTGGTGACTGTGAGACTGCTCTCCATAACCTTCTGTACGTTCGTAATATTCCATGATTTAAGGGTTTAAAATGTTAATGAACACAGGAATCTCCACGTACGTGCTGTGGAATACAATCTGAGGTTTAGGTGCAAAGCTGGCATGTTCCCAAATAAACTGCTTCAGTAACTACTGCTATGAAATATGTACATGTAATTATTGCCATCATTTTCTAATTCTAAATCAAGGTATCCAGAAACTGAAAAATCTGTCCAACGGCCTGGCTCGCTCCTCTGCCACAGAAAGATGCAACCACTGCTCCTGGCTGACAAGGCGCCCAGGCTGGTGGCATGGGCACACCCACCAGCGGCCCCACCCAACCCTTCTCACCCAGATACCTCACAACTACGGCCTTTCTTCAAGATAGGAAAAGTAAAGGTTTTCCAAATCTGCCTGCCACTCCCCAAGGTCAGCCTGAAGCTCTATTGAAGGAGGAGCTTTGGAGACAAAGGGAAGGTGGTCCATCAGGCTGTGCAGTGGGGCCCCTGCGCCTTGTGGTTTGTGGTTACCTATGTGCCTGGGAACCCCCCCTGGAAGGGACACATGCAAGGAGAAAGAGCCAGGGAGAAATCTGGGTGGTTCTACTAATGATCCCGCAGTGTTTGCACTGTACTCTACAGAGGATGCCATTTTTTGCCCAAGGCATTGTTCTTGAGAGCAACAATCCCAAATCCCTAATTGCCCTTCTGCTCAATGTCAGTCTCAAAACAAAGGGGATCTTCCTCATCTCAGCCTCACAAAAATATCCCAAAGTCTGTCTTTCTATCAGGAACAGGGCTAAGTGTCATGAAAATCAGCAACAGGTACTAAATGCTTCTCTATTATTTTACCTGGATTCACAAACAAATGTCACCAACTAAGGAAGACAGAAATGTAAATGAGCATGCAGCCTTCTTATGTGCTGTGCCTCATTTAATTTTCTGATGCATTAAATAAGATGAATATCACTAATGCAAATATGAGATTTCTGCAGAACCCAAGCATAACTCAGAAGAGTCTTAACTAAATGCAGTGTTAAAATATCGAGTGGGCTGGCTCTCTCTTTTTTTTTTTCTCCTGATATCAATACAAATGTGCTCAGAATGGCTTTATTTTACACTTCAAAGTCAAAATAAAAATCATGCAATAGGGGCTGGGGATGTGGCTCAAGCGGTAGCGCGCTCGCCTGGCATGCGTGCGGCCCGGGTTCGATCCTCAGCACCACATACAAACAAAGATGTTGTGTCCGCCGAGAAATAAAAAATAAATATTAAAAATTCTCTCTCTCTCTCTCTCTCCCTCCCTCTCTCACTCTATCTTTAAAAAAAAAAAATTAAAAAAAAATCATGCAATAAATGTAGCAACTGTACATCGAATGTTAGCATATGGGAAAAGTGTATTCTGCCTTCATTCTGAAAGAAAATTTTTGTTCAAGAATATCACAAGTTTAAAAATTAAAACATGGGGCTGGAGATGTGGCTCAAGCGGTAGCGCGCTCGCCTGACATGCGTGCGGCCTGGGTTCCATCCTCAGCACCACATACAAACAAAGATGTTGTGTCCGCCGAAAACTAAAAAATAAATATTAAAATTCTCTCTCTCTCTCTGTCTCTCTCACTCTTTCTTAAAAAAGAAAAAATTAAAATTAAAACATTTATAAAAAATGCTAACTTTGATTACATTAAGTGTTCTCAGTTTATGATACATGCATATAAGATATATATTTTAAAATGATAGTGTTGTATGAAAAAGAGGTATTTTTCAAAATGAAATGTCACTGTAAAAACATTTTCAGAAAGTATATAGAAAAGGCATAAAAAAGTCATTCTATCATTTTCAGATTTAAATTTGTGAATCATGACTTTAATAATCATAGTCCTACTTTGTGGTTTGTTTGCTTTTATGCATTTTACTGTCCTAATATCTCCTGCCCCCATAGTCAAGAAAAACCAATTTAATAATCATGTAAAAATGATTTTGCTGCCATACTGAATGTTAAATAGTGAATCACAGAGATTGAAAATATCAGGTGCTTTTGCCATGCAATCCGGGAAAGAATGTCTAGGGCTCTGGCCCCACACACCAAGACGTCTGGGTGCATCTCAAGTCCAAGCAGCCAGCCCAAGTTTCTTCTTCCTAAGGTTTTTAAACTGCTCAATTGGTCATTTCACAAAACAGATTCGTCATTTATGGTTTATGTCACTTTTGCAGAACTTATTGCTGACCCACCATTCTATGTGTGTCAAGTTTTGCTAATGGTCAACATAAAAATGATAGATTGCTGGAAGTTAAATTACAAATAATGTTTCAGAGTAAAACGGAATGCTCGCAGGCCCTTGGTTGGTATTGTGTCCCTGATTCCCCTGAAAACACACGGAGTAACTGATTGCATCATCTTCGTACTGACCAGAGTGGAAACCTGCTCAGCTTTTGTTATATTCTGAGAAAGACCTAATGTGCCCTGCAGGGTTAAAATAATTTGAATCAACAAAACTTAAAAGCTACAAGTAGTATTTTCTTATAATGGCCTAATGGAGTAAGTGCTATGCTTTTGGTCCAAGTAAAGTTTCTTATGTTTTAATTACACAAGACAGAATTTAACTATAGAAGTTGCTTTAAGAGCTGAATTTTTCACCCTCATTGTTTTCAGTATTAGGGGTTTGGGACATTCTTCACTCATAATAGTAACTCAAGGGTAAAGACTGTTTTATCCCAATACAATGGCACAGAATATGAAAAGAAGTTCTGCAAGGACCCAAAGAGAGGAATAAAAGGAAGCGTATGCCCACCTGACCGCGTGGGCACACATGGGAAAAGGGCATTCCTGAAGAGGAGGCAGGATGCGGAGATGACGCGCCACTTCCCTGGGTGGCCTCCACGAACTCTGACTTTAAGGGACACGTCATATAGGCCTCACTGCTCCACAGTGACACTGTTTCTAACAATGAGTCCTCAAATTAAACCATTCTCAGTACCCACATTTAACTATGGGTGGATGCTTTCAGTATCTGAGCCACCCCAATGAAGCAAACACTAATAGCACATTGTTCCCTTCCACCAAATGCCTTGCTTTCCCACATTAAATTATTAACCAGGAAATGGAAAGTATGAAGGCTAAACCCCTTTGGTATGTGGAAAAGCTAGGCCAGGAGACAGCACTTGTTAAACAAGAAGGCTGCGCTGGCCTGGCCTAGCAAGCTCCTGATTCCTGCCTGCTGAGCCGCCCCAAGCTGGGCAAATGGGGGGCCAGCACCATAACCTCGACCTCCTGTCCCTCTGCTTCCAGGCAGGTGGCACGCCCCTCCTCCCTGCCCTGCCTCTCGGCTTAGGCTTGGACTCGGGTGTTAGAAAAGTAAGGATTTAAGATAAACACATTACTTAAAAAAAAAAAAGCACAAATATGATTTTCAAATTAAAGCCACACAATCAGGGCTGACAAGCTCAGACGGGCAGTGTATATACTCTACAGCTTCCAGAAAAACTTTAAGAAGGAAAATGAACAGACACCCTGCACACTGTGTGCTGGCCTGCCATGAGTCCTTAGAAGAGCCCCCTGTTCCTCCGCCAATGGAGCGTGTGCATGTGCGATGGTTAGCATGGAGGCCAGGAGCCGTCCTCCGTGTCCGCTCCTGGGGAAGCAGAACGCAGGCAAACACTGCCCTGTACACGTGTAATTCCCATGGATCACCTCTCCCACTTCCTAACCCTCGGGGTCAGTCTTAGCCAGTGCTTTCTTCCAGGAATAGCCATGCTTTCAAAACGGGCAGCAATTCACAGCCACTTCGCCTCCGATGCTTTTCCAGAAAGCTAGGGGCTCTATTTCCGTATCATCAGGTACAGCTGTTGCCACACCACATCTCAATTTCAGGCTGTGCACCTAAAACACCTGAATGAACCTCACCACGTTTATTAATATTCCTTTTCTGTAGATACTTTTCTAGAAGCCAGTGCCAACTCCGTGAGTTTTCCTCAATGTTAAGAGGAGATTTTCCCTGTATTAATAAAGAAATCTGGAGGCATTTTAGTATAATCTTGACAGGAAAAGATGTAAACCCCAATGACTTCACTGAGGTATAAAATGGAATCGCCTTATCATCCATGACAGTCTGTCATGTTTGGCTGCTACTTTCCTGCACATAAATAAAAATGCAAGTACTTAAGTGCCTCTAGAAACCTTCTGCTGCATCTTAAATGGTTTTCATTTCACTTTTTCTGCTAATCAATAGAGATTTCTGTCTATACTTTAAGAAATGCATACATCCTACCAGGTCATCCAGGGCGAGCTGTCTTGGGACTGCACATGTGAGGGAATGTTAATATGGCTTTGATCTATGCTTTAGTGTCACCAGGCCAAGATGAAAAACTTCAAACTGCGATCCTACGTTTTGTTTACCAAATGACGGAAGCATTCTGGTACCATACAGATTACAGGGTTGACCTGCCCTTAACTCTCCTTCCCAACTAGACGTTTATTTCAGAAGTCATGCAGGAAGTCCCCCAGGAGAGGACTGTTTCTTAACATGAGTTCTTCAAGGGTATGTTAAGCACAAGTGCTGGAAAGTAAATAGCAATTCTAAGTAAAATCTTCTCAAAATACTGAATTTGGGAAATAAGAGAATAAACCTGGCCTTCTTTCTGCTGTAGCTCCAGATCACTGGGGAGGGGCGGTGCTCAGAGCTGTGTCACTAAGTCAGTCAAACCTCAAACAGGGAGATGGAGAATTCACAAGGTCTGCTTTGCTGTTTTGTGGGGGTCATTTAAGGCAAGGAAAAACAGCCATGGTTGTAACGTCGTGGAGAGTAATTCTGAGCAACCAGGACCCTCTGGGATAGGCATGGCCCTTACCATGTCCCCTGGCTTGACGGAGACAGCCACCACCACTCCAGGCATCGGGGAACGCAGGATGCTGCTTGTGTCCTCAGCCACTTTTTCCAGCATAAACTTGTTCAATTCTGCAGCGAGTTTGGTTAAAACACGTACCTTGTACTTAAGGGGGAAAAAAAAAAAAGTAAGGAGTTTAAAAGATGAACTTTTCCTCCAAAGCAGCACTCATTTAAAATCAGGATTTAGCTTTTAAAGGAAAATTCCAATATCCTTTAAGTCACATGCTTAAATTCCTTGTACATAACACCCCAATACATTATCTTCTTATACTTTCTTACTGTCAGTCAGCCATCTAAGAAATTTCTTGAAACAAAAACAACTCCTTAATTAGCAATACATAATAATCATCCTGGAGTCCTGAGAAAAACATCTTAACACTTCACAAAGACAAAAGTATGGATCTGCCGGTGTCCCTTCACGGCTTACAAACTTGTGCTGAGAAAGGCAGACTGGTGGGCTGGGTCAGCTGAGGGCTGAGGCGGCGACACTGTGAGCTCACATCAGTAGATGGCAGCAGATCGCTGTCGCAGGACTCCCGCACCCGCCAGAGAGCCGCTGCACTGTGTGCACCCACAAGTTAAGACAAAGGGTTTCAGTGTTTGTTTTGGGTGAACAATCTTTAAAATTCAGATCTTTTCCAATGGCATAAAATGTTACATTGGCAACTGAAAAAGTCAGCTTGCCTTTTTAAGCACATCCCGCAGTCTTTCTGCCATGACAGGATGGGGAGAACACCTTCCCAGCTGGGGGCAGAATATCAAGGCTTTCCACACACAATGTGCACAGCCAAGGGTCTCAGGGCCCCTCTTGTAGGAGGCACATTAAAGTGGGTCCAGTCCCACTCAACATTTCTAATAGAGAATTTCTACCAGACAGGAAAAAATCCTATCTCTGGGAATCCGTTTTGATTTGATTCATCCAAACGGAAAGGAGAAGAAATGGCTGGAGGAAGAGCTACTGAAGACTTCTGGACTCCCACCAACCAAACCTCTGGGGCGAGCGGCAGCGGCACCAGGGCAGCCGGCTTTGAGGAGAGCTGCTGCAACCTGAGGCCTCCTGTGGGCACCATGATGGCAGCGACGCCAAGACGAAATCCAATTTGCCCTTGGATTCTGTACAGAGGCAGCGAGACCTCCAAGTAGGCTCTTTGCAGGGCCTCTTTAAAAGGAGAGGGGAGGGCCCCGATGAAGAGCTTTGATGGCCTAGGTTCCGAGTAGAATTGCGACACTGTGACAGGTTGAATAATAACATCTTTTGCATGTTTCTTTACTCCTGAGTGTGTGTTTTGCAATCAAGACATACAAGCATCTGCCAGTTTCTGAAGGATATGATCCTTAAGTGAAATTACAGTGCAAATAAAAGCTTTTTGCTCCTATTAAAATTCATCTGAGTCATAAGTGGCAAGGGAAAAAGCAAGGAGAGTGCATGCTGCTGTCAGTCTAATAAACATTCTGGGCAGAGGGACTATTTATCAACGATGAATTGTACCTCCAAGTCCTTCATTAAACCTATGGGGGGGGAGAAAAGGGGGGAATATAATTGGGCCAGATTGCACAGTGTTAGTATCTGCCTCTGCCTTGGAAGGGAAAATCCAGGATTGAGAAAGGTGTGGGAGTCCACCAGAAGTTACTTTTCTGCGGGCAGCGCCCTGGGGTGTCCTTCTCTGGGACTGGTCAGCACGGTGCCCCTTCAGCTTCCAATGCTGCACACAGGTCGGTTTTTGCCCAATTCAATTTCCATTGTGAGTTCAGGAAAAGTGAGGAGAATGCCATTTACGAACTTCCACCACAACAGATAAACTGAACTAATTTTAGCTATATCACAAATAAGCATTAGTAGGGATCCAGTGCTAAGAGTGCAGTTAGCCCTATTTCTCCCCAGAAATTACCAGATCCTGACTAAAACTGGATCCTTTTACTCTCTTTATAATTTTCGTATCTTCTGGATTCCTTTCTCTGTGGGACTCCTGCTTGGCTTGGAAAGAGATGTGAGAGTCACAAAGCTCAGTGCCTTCAGAGGCAGGCTTTGTTACCAGTGAAATGTTCCTTTTCCTTTTGTATTTGTTTATTGTTCTTAAATCCGTTTGGGGGATAAGTGACTTATTGTAATCACAAGCGAAAAAATAACAACAAAGTAAACTCTGGTGCACGTGGTTGGCTTAGAAATGGCCTTTCTGAATACAAAGGGGGGCAGAGAGCAGGTTCTCTTAAGATTACCTTTGATGTCGTCCTGGCCCTGTTAGTGTGCCTGCACGAGCCCACCGTCTTAAAACAGCCTCTGGAGGCCCCTGTGGGGTACAAGGAGCCCATGCCCCATGGGGCTGAAATGGGGCACATGCGGGCCCATCCAGTGAGAATGAGAAAAGCCTTTTGATGCCCAACAAAGAAGTTATTTAAGAATATATACCAGAGATTACAGTCAAAACTGATATCCATCGGTGTCTCGGGATTCTTTGGGGACTCAGGGCAGTCAACTAGCTGAGAGATTTCAGGAAGGTATCCCTTCAGCAACGGCAGGATACAAGTTCAGTTTAGTGAGGGACATTTAAATATTCCAGGAGTGGCGTGCGACACTGCCCTGCAGAGTTCAGATGTTTTTGTTGCTGTTGTTGTGAAGCAGACAGACCCCACTGTAGACATTTTCAGGTGGGCAGTCCAGCATTCTACAGGCCCGTTGACAGGGTGGCCAAGCAGGACCCAGAAGACAGCGGTGCTCACTGCCTGGGTCCGCAGTAGCGTCTGTTTGATGAGAAGCTGCCTGTTGGTGGAGCTGGGCTGCTGCGGAGGGGGAAGCGTCAGCTGGGGCCTCATCAGTGGACGGAACTTCACTCTGCTGGCTTTGGGGAGCTGGTCCCCAAACCACCACCACATAGATACAAAGCTCTTGAATAACAAACACCTCACCATGTAAGTTAGAACAGGGAACGGTGCTCTCTGGGTCTGGCCTGCATGGGCTCCTCAATCGATAAGTGACAATAACGGGAGCAAATGGCATATATGACCCAGTTATGGAAAATGACCCCAGCCTGGGTCTCTAAGCCCATTAATTCTACAGTGTCTACAGTGTAGGACCATGTCTAACAAGAGAATTCTCCCAAAAGTCTAAAAGAAACCATAGCAGACATGAAAGGCTCAGGAAGAAAACCACAAGAGAGGGACGATTACAAGGAAGGCATTGGGATTGTTTTTAAAACGAGCAAATGGAACCTGACGAAGGAGAAGGCTAGGAGCTGGGCCCAGTGAGCTGTGGTTAGAGGAGGTGGGAGCTGGCCCTGGGCCACGGCTTGGTAGAGATAGATGCTTCTGGGGTGTGTGTGTGTGTGTGTGTTTTGGGGGGTGTTTGTGTGTGTGTGTGTGTGTGTGTGTGGTGCTGGGGATTGAACCCAGGGCCTTGTGCATGAGGCAAGCACTCTACCAAGTGAGCCATATCCCCAGCTCGACAATGTTTCTTAATGGACTTGTGAATGGAAATATCCTGCCACGAGCATGCCCATTGTGGCAGAGCTCACCTGAACTCTGCACCCCGAGACAGCAAGAACCTCACCCTGCGATTCACATACACAGTGCCGTCCCTGGATTCTGTGTCCATTTAGTATACACCTTCTTAAGCAGGCTCTTGTTTCCAGGCCTCTGGAGGTGCTGGTGCTGTTACAGACCCCGCGTGCTGCTGTGTCACACCACTCACATGGTGAACATGCCCAGTCTGCATACTTTCAGTTGTGATTTGAGGTCCTCCTGTGTTGTTCCTCTTCAAGTGGGCTCTACTCCAGTTTCCATTTCCAAGTCATTCTTCCCATGACAATTAGGGTATGGACAGTTGATCAACTGCTTTTGTTTCTACATGTCAACTCTTGGCCATCTCAGGCAACACAGAATCAAGAGCCAATAATGAAGCTTTACTGCAAGTTTTTACATTAATTATCTCCACATCCTGGTGTAGTGGCCCCAAACCACACACCCAGCCCTCCCTAACTATGGCGGCACACGTTTCTCTAAAGGGCTCTTCCTAGTCCAGGTTTTACACCTTCTGCCCTCAAAGCCTGGAACATTAAGCTGCAGTGTGAGAACCAGTGCTTACGTATTCCTTAAAGATCCACTGGCCTGACTCAGAGCTAGAAGAAAATCATCAATGTTTTTATTTATTATTTTATTTTATTGATTCATTGATGGGTTGATGGACTGCAGTGCTGGGGATTGAACCCAGAGCTTCGTACCTTCAGGGTAGCTGGGACTCTAGCTCTGCTCATCAATGTTTTTTTTTTTAATTCTAATTTGTTATCCATGACAGAAGAATGCATTACAATTTATAGAGCACAATTTTTCATATCTCTGGTTGTACACAAAATAGTTACACCATTTGTGTCTTCATACATGTACTTATCATCAGTGTTGCTAAAGTGTCAGAAGTGATGGGCTAAAAATGAGGTGCCTTTAAACATATCAGCATGTCTGAAAAGAAGAATAAAACACTAACTGTAATTCAAAACCTTCAGGTGGAATTAGAAGTTCAATTCATCAGGGTTTTCCTTCAATGCTATGCACAATACACTCCTCTCTACTTGAACATAGGGCCCAACAGCCAATTCCTTAAAACAACAAAGCAAAAATCTCCCTCACACAGAATGGAAGCCTGTGGCTGCCCTCTTGGAGGTACAACCCAGGGGAAGGTGGACGGAGCAGACAGCAACTAAGCACGGGGCGAGCCTGGCCTAGTGCAGCTGCAGTGCAGAGCTGCCTGTTAGCATAATGCTGTGACAACTCCATCAGTGCAGTCTCAAGGTAGCTGTCAATCAGGATGCATCATTTAATCCAACAGCACTCGGAGGACTTTCTCCTACAACCCACATGACAGCATATCTACAGCTCTATTTATATCAGCGCCCAGTTGTGTTTACAACGCTGTAGTAATTAGAAAAGATGCAACAGGCAGCAATATTATTGAGATTTCCATTTTGCAGTATTGCCCTGTAAAGTGTGATCTTGCTTCACAGAGTCATGCTAAATGACAAAAGGCTATTTTCTTCAATCTCCCAGCTCCCGACAGCACTTCATTTGCAGCTATCTATAATTAGATTAATGGTGTAGTGCGTACAAAGCAGGCCC